TTTTTTTTTTTTTTTTTTTTTTTTTTTTTTTTTTTTTTTTTTTTTTTTTTTTTTTTTTTTTTTTTTCTGTAGGATGTGGCGTGCCAGCCAAGTCGATATGGACTGCATTTGTGAATCCGATCTTCTGCTTCCACCTCCGGAGCTCACAGGCACATTGAGAGGACTTAGACATTCTTTTCCTTTTTTTTTCTTTTTTTTTCTCTTTTTTTTTAATGCTTTTTTCCTTCCTTCCATGGAATCTTCTCATCCAAGTTCTAAACTCCTCCAGGGAAAGCTGAACGTGATTAACCTCTCTCTCTCTCTCTCTCTCTCTCTCTCTCTCTCTCTCTCTCTCTCTCTCTCTCTTTCTCTCTCTCTCTCTCTCTTTGTGTCTGTGGATCCGGATGAGGCTTAGCAGTCACATGGATGCTTAGGAGCAAATTCTCTCTCTCTTCTCTCTCTCTCTCTCTCTCTCTCTCTCTCGCGCGCGCGCGCGCGCGCACACACACACACACTCACACTGGGGTATCGCTAACTCTGGTCGACGTGGCGAGTTCTCATCCATCAGTCAAATGCATCCTTGGCAGACTGTCGAGGTTTTATCCTCCTGATGAGTCGGGTGAAAGTCCGACGAAATAGTTATGCAGCTTATGCTTTTTTTTGTGGAATTGTGTATAGCCAACATGACAGCACACATACATGCGCACAAGGACGAAGAAAGGGAGCCACGTGGCACACTGTGAAGAAAGAGCAGCCACGTGGCACACGAGAAAGAAATGGCATCCACGTGTCAGGAGAGGATGACAGGGCAGCCACGTGGCACACGAGGGAGAAAGGGAAGGCACATGGCCCATGTGCAATCAAAATGCGAGCAGCAAGGCAGGCTCGCTCGGGGAAACTTGGGGATTCTCAAGGTCTCTCCAAGCCACGTGGCCTATTACCTGACTCTTACATGGAGGTGCCTCCGCCGCCGTCCCTATCGCCTCCTCCTCCTCCTTAGTGCCCAACTCGGCTGTGGCTCCTGGATGCCCCCTTCGACCTCCTCCTACTCCCCTTCTTCTCCATCTCTGCGACCTGTGCTCTTGTCCTCCTCCCCCCTCGTCAATCCCCCCCGCCTCCTTCTCCTCCCTGCGTCTACGGTAGTCTCCTGGTCTTGGTCCTCTCAGTTTGCCCCCTTTCCTCATTGCCTGGTCCACTTCCCGGACCAGGTCCAATCACTTTCCCTCTTTCCCCCTTCCCTGGTCCCTGGTCCACTTCCCGGACCAGGTCCAATCACTTTCCCTCTTTCCCCCTTCCCTGGTCGATTTCCCGGCCCTTGGTCCACTTCCCGGACCAGGTCCAATCAGTTTCCCTCTTTCCCCCTTCCCTGGTCGATTTCCCGGTCCCTGGTCCACTTCCCGGACCTGATACAGTCAGTTTCCCCCTTCCCTGTTCCCTGGTCCACTTCCCGGTCCTCTCCTCCGTCTACCCTCCTCGTCCTAGTCCATTTGGTTTCCCCCCTCCTTGTTCCCTGGTACGGATCCTGCTGGCCCTCACTTCCTCCTCTCCTCTCCTCTCCTCTCCTCTCCTCTCCTCTCCTCTCCTCTCTCCGTCTCTGTCCGTTTTCTCTTCCCTTGTCAGATGTTTACCTCTCCAACGACTGTCCATGATCCGTCTGTAACTGATAAGCAGAGGTTGGTTTTGCAAAATAGCGGACGATGCAGGATGATAATGATAGAAGTCGTTCTTCGAGAGGACATCCATGAAAATTGGAACGAGATAGAGAAAAGATTATGCGTCCGCTGCGTATGGATGCCACGCGCGAATGGAGAAATGGGGGAAAAAAAAAAAAGAGTAATAAAGACGATGGCATTCAGAGGAGCGATGATGTAGAGTAAGCGATGACGACGGTTTTAGACGGCGAGAGGCGAGGGGGAGGAAGAGGGGGAGGAAAAGCGGATAACGCGGGGGGATGGAGGAAGCAGGTGAAGAGGAAGGCGGCGGGGGCGGAGGGGTGGAGGTGGGGAAGGGTTTTAAATCGCGATGCGAAGACGTTAGGGACAAAAAGGTAGGTGAAAAAGGGGGAAGRGGGGGGGGGGGGGGGKGGAGATTTGAGCAGGTGAAAAAGAGGGGAGAGGGCGGATCTGTCACCTGCTTTTTCACCCCTTTTTTTTTCCCGTTTTTCACCTGAGTAGGTGATGTTAGATAGAAACAAGGGGACAAAGAGAGATTTGTAGTGTTGTAGTGGTGATATCCCCAACAAGAGATCAGGCGAAGAACGGGAGGACCCGTGTCTCATGAATTGTCTTCTCTTTCTCTCTCTCTCTCTCTCTCTCTCTCTCTCTCTCTCTCTCTCTCTCTCTCTCTGATTTTCCATCCCAACGCTCTTTGTGATCTTTCCTTATTTCCCGATGGACACTCTCGCTCTCTCTTCATCTCTGCACCAGGGACTTCTCTCGTTGGTTTCCAGACCGAGCTTGGTCTGTGTGTTTGCTGCTCTCCCCCTCTCTCTGCCCCCTGTTCGCACGCCTTCTCTCTCTCTCTCTCTCTCTCTCTCTCTCTCTCTCTCTCTCTCACACACACACACATCGTCCTCGTCCCTTACATTGCATGTTCGGCGTTTGTGCGTGTACATCCCTCTTTTTGTAGAAGACGAAACACAATTGTGGAAAAGAGGCTCGGTGGGCCGGGACTTGTCAAAGACGTGCGCATACACGTCCAGAAAGGAGGTAATGAAGGTCACGCTTACGCTATGACTTCCTGGAATGCATCTGACTGGAAACACTGCCAGATTATTTTTAGCGCAGCACGTCCCAGTGCGAGGAGGCTCTATCCGTCGCATATGAGCAAAATCTTCCACAACCGATTTTCGACACCGTACAGCAATTACAGTAAATACCAATATTTTTTTTTTTTTTTTTTTTTTTGTTGTAAATACCAAGATTTGAAATACGGTGTAGGTTTGAATTACAGTAAGTTTAGATCACAGTAATAGTAATTTGAATTTGCCGACCGTTGGACAGTTGAAGCTTCATCTGGACACAGTTTGATTTTTCCAACAGGACTTCTAGTAGTACGTAGTACAGTCTCTTCCCTCGAACACAACTCTATCTGCACATGATTTTTCCAACAGGGGCAAGGTCCCACTTGCACGGATTAAGAGATTCTGGCCGTTGATATTTGCTATCTACGGTCAATATCGCTTAAGTCGTGTAAATGGGACCTTGCCCCAGGACTTCTGGACATGTGTTTTTCCAACAGGACTAACACCACACCGCCCCCCCCCCCCACCCTGGTCTTCCCTCGAACACAACGGTGCGTTTTGTTCAGGGGAAGACGGTCGATGAAAACGATGGGGTACCCAGAATGACGAACTGTCGAGGAAATGAACTGTTGAGAAAGAAAGAGACTCCAATTTTTGCGATAAGAGATGAAGATAACATTACTCTGAATTCCCCGAGGAAGCCGGTCAGTTCTCAGAATCGATCGCAGGGTGGTCAAAGCGTACGTGAATTTGGACGCTGTGAGAACCAGGTGCGTTCCGAGGAGTCCAGCATTCTGAATGTACTGCGCCCAGAGAGCATCCAAATGCATGTAGAGTAATCGTGTAGTGGAGCCAGGCCTTTGCTCAACGCAGTGCAGCATTTGCTCCCCCCCGGCCCCCCCCTTATGAATTCTTTTACAAAGGCAGTGATAATGCTAAACGTTTCTCTGTAATACCTTCTGGGCCTTTTGGCTAGGATGCTAAGATCAATTGTAGTATCTGTTTTGATCAGTCAAAAAGAAAAAAGAAAAAAAAAGAAAAAAAAGCTTCTTTGTATCTTTCCAAGATTTTAAGATTTAAGGGATGTCCCGAAGGACGCATTTGGGGAGTCACGTGGTGCAAGTACTTACAAGTTACAACTGGGTCTCTTCACTCTCTTCTCATTCGTAACGTTAGGTAGCCAAGTCGGATGTTGTCGTGTTCGTCTCTTCACTCTCTTCTCATTCGTATCGTTAGGTAGCCAAGTCGGATGTTGTTGTGTTCGCTATACACAAGTGCACACTAAAATAAAAAAAATAAAAAAATAAAAAAAGCATGACTGTGCGAGACTGCTTCGTTGGACTTTGACCGACCTCATCAGGAAGTTGTGTGTGTGTGTGTGTGTGTGTGTGTGTGTGTGTGTGTGTGTGTG